ATATAAGTTTACATGGCACATATGAACTTTCTTAAAAGTTTCTCTACAATCAAATAAGGCTCTAAATTATGTTTCAAATCATTTCCTATGTTCTGCTCATTGTAATAATTAACTAGAATCATTTTTGCCTCAATCTTTAAGGACCTCTATAACCCACCTTTTCTTTCCTGTTCAACAAGCTACCTTAACTCTCACTGTGCTGGCAACCCCTTCTAACCCATCATCACTTTCATAATTTGATCTCAGCATATCTTTCCAAACATTTCATCCACAGTTCATCTTAAAGAAACCTTTACTCCAAACTCGCTTTTACTGTTCTCCAAATACCATGCTCTCTCCAGCCTTATAGCTTGGCACTCACCCTCCTCTTCTCCAGTGCTTTCTCCAGACTCTTCAGAAAAGCCAACCTGTTACCTTCCCTCGCAAATTGTTGGACAGAGCTGTGGATATTTTACCTTTATTCTCCGACTTCCTCCAACTTCATCTTTCTGTTTTCCTGTTATCTCTTCTATGCACTCCAAAGACTTCCTCTTGTTCCAGACCATGTTGAACAAGCCTCTTCTTCCTCCTCCTTGATGATTTATATACTGCTCTAAGTCCAAACTTTCCATTATTCTTCCTTTATGCTGGCCTTTATCGTGGTTTGCCTTTGAGAGATAATTATTCTTTGGCTATTTCTTTCTCCCCGTTCCTCTATGAACATCCTTTACGCATATAACAAGTGGACAAATCTTCCACATGAAATATCTGGGTTACATTTTTAATTCTATACTTTTACTTCCTGGGCCAATAATAGAATAGATCTCCAGAAAGAACAGACATTCAGTTGCTGAATGGAAGAAATGTTGCCTTCCCTATTCAAAAGCAGCCCTTCTGACTAATTAAAGAAATATGTCAAAACAGTTCCCAAGAAGAACCCATATGTCAGCCAAAGAATTAAATATTTTGAAAATGAGAAGAACCACTTGGTCTATTTTTCAATAGAGACTGAGAACAAAGGAAAAGAAGAAAGACAGGGCAGGAATAAATCAGAATTCAAGCTGAAATAAATATAGAAATCTCCAGTTGTAATGAAAGGGAAAACTATGTAAGCTTAGGACTCTGGTGAAGCCCTCAGACATTATGTACATAGCTGAGTTTTTTACTACATTTCTTTTTTTTTTTTTTTAAAGATTTATTTATTTATTTATTTGACAGAGAGAGATCACAAGTAGGCAGAGAGGCAGGCAGAGAGAGAGGAAGGGAAGCAGGCTCCCTTTTTACTACATTTCTAACACTTGCCACCAGTTTTTGACCAAAACCAAGTCCTCAGAAAAGAAAAATGGGACACAAAGTGTACTGGAATGATGGGCAACAGACAAAGCCTTTTGCAAGATACAAATACTTTCTAAAAACAGTGTGCTTCAAAAACAGTTGGAGGGGGTTTGGAAACAGTGAGCACTGAAGATGTCAGTGTTTAGTGAGAATGGACTTTGTGAAATATAAAGCACCATTCGAATATAAGCTATTTATTACTACTGGACAGGAATGTAGTTACCTCTTACCCACTGAGGGGTAACAAATGGTATTAAGTGAGTCCCATTACTTCCTTCAAACTTCAAATGGCAAAAGCAGTTAGGGGAAAAAAGAATACTGGAAAGGATTTATTTCTCTTTTTAAATCCGAGGGAACCGGGCTCCTAAATGTCCAAGTAGTAGGAAGGAGAGGTACTCAGTAGCAGGATGCTGGTGCAATTTGGCTATGAGCCTTCCAGGATCGAATAAAAATATGTGTTTATAGAAGCAGGGCAGCTGCTCAGCTAGCTTGGATGCCCACCCTTTAAGGACTCAAGATTTGCCATTTTCCTTAGTCAACTACTTCTGCAGTCTATGAGAAGTATCAAACTAAAGAGTAAAGATATAGAGATGTTTTGGGTACTGAGCTTCCTGGAGACAACATCAGTCTCTTCCTTATAAGCCATCAGAGCAGTTCAAATAAGGTACCATCACAATGTTCCCATCTTTGGGCTGTATGCAGAAATGGTCAGAAATTCCCCACCATTGGTTTATTCAATAAATACTTGTTGATACTATATCACAGCAGATACTGTGGGCATCAAAATGAGTAAGAAAAATAACAAATGTCATATATGTATAATGCATGCACACACACACTACCATGAATAAAGCTTGTCACTTTGCAGGTTGTAGGTATTCATTACTAATTTCCTTCCTTCCTCTTCTTACCATACAGCTCCATGTTCTTGCTTACCACTCTAATGGGGACAAGCAAAAAAATAATTCTGTTATAGTGAAATTTGCGACATTATATGTGATATAACGTGAAATGATGTGGTATGAAATATGACATGGGAGTGACAGGAGCACGTGCCAAGTCAGCTGAGTCCTAGGCCACAGTTTGCCTGGTGGACACTGGCCAACATAGAGGAATAAGAAGTAATCACAATTCAATGGATTTGTATTTCAAGAAACACAATAAATATTTCTTCTGGAATCTAAACCAGTTGATAAAAGAAAAGGTCATGTCAATTTAAATGGGAATTACTACTACTAATTGCTTTGCTTAAAAAAAATTAAAAAGTAGCAGAAGAAAATCAGAGCAGAGCAGAGAAACTAATTTTTTACTAACAATCAAATGCAAAAGAAATTCTAAATATCTGTCAAAAACAGGGCTAAGTGAACTATTTCTGAAGCAACAAAAAAGACCCCTAAGCAAGAAATTTTTATAATCATCCTCTTTCTAGGTCGGAACTCTGTTAGAATGAGACAAAGAAAAATCTGGACCTGGAATAAGAGGAAGATGTTAGGAATCCATTCACCACACTGACAGAGATCTGTTTAACAAACAGATGGACGGCCAGAGTAATCAGATATCACAGGAAAAGGGAATAGATTAAGGGGAATAAATGAAAAATTATGACTCCAGAGTAAAGGGCGAAACATTTTTTAGGACATCATTAGGTTAAGTTAGTAGAAAAGAGAAAAGAAATTCTTAGAAAATGATAAAGGAAAGAATCATTTTTCATGTTTCTCCGTAAGAAAGCATTCAGTATGCTTGGAAAAATTAAATTAGATATTTTAATGTACCTGAGTAAATATTAAATGAATTCTGGAATTTAAAAATCCCTAGTGCTCACTCCACACAACCTAGAATGGGAGGAGAGAAGAAGAGGAATGCTGCCACACAAAATAAATGACTTGTTTGGGTTTTCTTTTACCAGCCATAAATAAAGGGTGTCTTGCAAGTATATAGATAGGATCCAAGAAAGCTAGTGGGGTATTTGTTTTTTGATATTTTCCTCTTCTCTTTTTTTTAAGGAATAGAAAGCCATAATAAAGAAAAGATCTAGGAAGTCTACAAATTTCATTAAAATATAATTGGACTTGCAGGAACAATTACTGTGCCGTACTGTAAGGGGAGCTCTTGGCACATAAGAGCAAAGTACACGTATGAGCTCATCTACCAGCCTCGGCAAGACCCACTTCCAGCTAGAAGCAGTCATGTTTCAACACCTCTGATTCCCTAATGCTGACAAGCTAAACAACTTGTTTTGTCTCTGGGAGCTCTTCTCTGGTGATTAACTGCTTATGGTGAATACTAATTATAGGAAAGTACAGTATTGAAGAAGTAGAGTCCTATTTCCTCTACCTGCAGCCTTGAATGTGTCTCTGAGTCTAGAAAAGTAACAGGTAGAGCCACTGCAAACCAAAACCAAGAAAAATATCTCCTCCCCCATGGTAAATAAATGTATCCCCTTCTACTTTTTAGAATAACAGAGTTCACTGACAATAAACCTCCTTTAACCTCTGGGCTCCAAAACAAAGAGGATTACAACAATAAAGTGAGTGTTTTAAAGGCTATAATAATCATATGGATAAATGTGCAGCAAGAGCTTGTGAATTAGTAACTATCAGTGTCCTCAATTCCCCACGTCCCATGTTGAAAATTTACCCCAAATTGTCAGTTCTTAGGAACTGCACCTCAGATTAAAATCTTCCCACCAGGGAGTCTATGAGAATTTGTTCTTGTGTTTTAAATCCTAAGTGCTTGTTAAACCGCCAACACTGCAAAATTAGAGACCATTAAACAATATAAGGCAGCAAGTGATTAAATCTACCAAATACACATTCAAAGCAGCTTAAGCTACTTTTTAATTAAAAATAAAATATCACTGGCTAAATTCAGATGTCTTAGCTATTCAGAAAAAGTTAGAAGGCTGTTCAAAATGCAAAATGCTGCCGATAAGGCCAGAAAGAAAAGGAGAAATGGGGAGGGGATTGGCTGGGGAGGGAGCTCCTGTAGTCCCTGTGCCCAAGGAGGCAGGGCCTTGCAGTGCTGACCCGGTTTAGTCAGAGGATGAGAAGGGGGAGTCATTGTCGCACTACAGAGTGAGAACTCCATGTGGCTGCTGATTAAATAAGCTTTATTAGCCAAGACCTCAGAGGAGACAGGGTGTTCCACCTTCTTGGCAAGGGGAATGAGTTGAGTAACAGCATCTCAGGAAGCTACGGCACTGGAGATGTATAGACGGCTGAAGGAAATGTTCGTGCTATTTTTAAATGTAGCTTGAACTACTTGATAAAGAGTTTGTGAAATCATTATTAGCATTTGGGGAAAGTGGCATGGGGGCTTCTGATGAACAGAATCACTTAAGAGTGAAAGACATTTTTACTGTAAAGTTAGAAGTACACAAACATTGTAGCTTTAAGTTGTTCCTACTTGTTTAAGGAAAAGAAAAAGGGCCAGGGGACTTAGTCAACGTTGGGCAGGAGGCCAAGAATCTGAAGATCAGACTTAAGGCTGGGATGATATCATTCACTCTGAAGTCTTGATACTCTTTCTAAAGCATGAGAAAATTTACTGGTAAAACCTTACCTCACCCACAGTTTTCTTATTTTTAACTCTTTTTTTTTTTCCTCTCAAGAATAATTTTCTAAATCTGCTTTCTGCCTTATATGTAAATGTTATGAATTTACATTTAGCAAGCGACATGGTCTTACCTAAAAAGCTTGCCCTAAAGTAAAGCACAGGCACTTGGTAGCTACAGGAGTATAAGACATGATACTCATATTTAACCACTTGACTTCCCGCTGTGGTCTCAGTCACTTCAAAATCATCCGGGGGTAGTTCTAAAGCCTCCTGAAACAAAGCAAAACAAAAACAAAATGTGTTTGTCAGTTTAAAAAAAAAAAAAAGAGTACTTTAGCACAGAAAGGGAAAGAGGAGAGTTTCTTCTGGCAAAATAACAGTTAAATAAATATAGGACTATGAGGTAAGGAAAAGGGAGTTTCCAACACTAATGTTTAATGTTTGAGTCCTGGGTAAATAGTAAAACCAGAAAACATTAACATTAAGTAATTCCAGATTGTTTTTGAGAGACAAAGCAGCTCTGGGTAAAGAAACAGGAAGGAAAGGGGGGGGGGAAGCAAAAGGTATGTTGCAACAGCAACTCTGAAAAATCTTTACTGTACAATTTTAGCAACAAGATGATGGCTCTACAAGCTACCTTCTTCCCTACCTGTGAAAGCTAAAAACATCCTAACAATTGAACAAGAGACTGTGAAATGTCCCTAAAGATTCTATTGTACTTGCCAAAAGATGATTCATTGTGTGCGGAACAATTCCCAGTTCCATTTTGAATGAGAAAGTTATTTTGCAAGAGGCTGAGTATGTTAGGTACATTTCAAAACCTGAGATGAGTCTGTTTTCTTTATTATTGTGCTATCTGTGGCATATTTCTACAATAAATCTTGATATTTATAATAGAATAAATGGCAAATGCTAATGCCAACTTAAACACGGTTTTTGTAAGTAAAGATGGTTATAGCTAGCTCACTTCTCACTAACCATTCTTTACTGAGGGATTTTTTTTTAATTATTATTATTTGTGGGTGTTTCTAAGGAATTTATCTTAATGTGTGGAAGCAATTAATTGGACATGTTAAGTCAGAATCTTGTTCTATCTATACTCATTTATTTGGGTTGATTTGAGTTGAAAAATTTCCTTTGAAATTAAATTAGTAAAAGGAAAGAAGCAGGTTGGTTTGGCTCATTTCTACCCCTCATTAAAACAGTACAACAATGAACAATTGGAAAGAGTTACAGGAAAGATTTCAAACTTTATCAATATGAAATAAGGTTTCCTATGGAGATAAGCAAAGCCACAGACTCCTCTCCAGATCTGTATCTGCTTTACTAATTGCCCACTCACAGTCAATTCATTGGGGGAGATACTACACTGGATAAATCACAACCGAGATACTTACAAAATAGTTTTCACTAAACTCCAGTAAACACTATCAATTAAATAGAACGAATTAAGTAACCAGAGAGAAATCAACAAAATATATATTCCAAATACAGAAAGTTAATACAGTCGCAAGAAAGAGGTTTTTCTGTTTATTTGGTTTTTCATTAGGCAGTTACCTGTATCTCCTTTAAAGCAGTTCTTCAAACCAAATTCTTTTTTTTTGGACAAAGATTAGTTTGTTTTGTATTTGTAATTTCTTTCCTTTTTTTTTTTTTTAACATTATAAAGCATTATGTCTTTGTAGATTAAAAAAAAAAATCATTGCAGGGGTGTCTGGGTGGCTAAGTCAGTAAAGCCCCTGACTCTTGATTTCAGCTCAGGTCATGATCTCAGGGTTGTAAGATCGAGCCCTGTGTTGGGCCCCACAATGGTCATGGAGCCTGCTTCAGATTCTCTCACCCTCTCTCCCTCTGCCCTGCACCCTCTCATCCCTCTCTTAAAATTAAGTAAATAAATACATTGCAAATACTGCACAAGTATATAAAATAAAAAGGGAAATTCCCCTCATCCCAGCACCTCTATTCTTCCAGTATGTAACCATTTTTAACCAGTGAGTATTTTCCCAGACTTTCACAAATTTTTGGCCTATAATCACGTGCACACACACCTATACACTTACACCCACCCATCCACCCTTGATTCAATCATGATGTATAGGGTCGCCTGGGTGCGTCAGGTAAGTCTCAGACTCTTGGTTTCAGGTCAGGAAATGTTCTCAAAGTCATGAGATTGAGCCCTACCTCAGGCCCCGTGCTGGGCAGAGAGGTTGCTTAAAATTCTCTCTCCCTCTCCCCTCTGCTTCTTCCCTTACATGTGCGCACACACGTGCATGTGCACACATTCTCTCTCTCAAAAAAACAAAACAAAACAAAACATGATGCATATACATATATTCCTTGATTTGATTTTTTTGCTTTTTAGTCATGGACATCTTATCACGTCCTACCATGTCAATGCTGTAGATTTTGTTCTTTCATTTTTAAATTTTTTAAAATATTTTTATTTATTTACCTGAGAGAGCACAAGCAGGCAGAGCAGCAGAGGGAGAGGGAGAAGCAGGCTCCCCTCTGAGCAGGGAGCCCGATGTGGGGCTCGATCCCAGGACCCTGGGATCATGACCTGCGCCGAAGGCAGTTACTTAACCAACTGTTTTGCTTTCTTTTAATGGCTTCACTGTATTCCATTACATGACTATGCTATAGTTTGTTTTAGCATTTTCATATTGTTAGTTATTTTAGGTTGATAATAATTTTCTGCTACTACAACTAATACTATAATACATATCATACCACATATATCCTTATACACCTCTATTTTTCTGTGGTAGATTTCTAAAGAGGGCATTATTATATGAAAAGGATGTGCATTTTAAAGTTCAATAGATAATTGCCAATCTGTCCTCAGAAAAAGGCTGCATCGATTTATATTCCCAGCAAGAATGTAGGAGAATGTCCTTTCCCACATCCCATAAGTACTTGAATATTATTTGCTTTTAATTTTTGTGTATTTGATTAATTTTTAAATGTCATTTTTTGTTGCCTTTTTTTTTTAATTTTATTTATTTATTTGACAGAGAGAGATCACAAATAGGCAGAGTGGCAGGCAGAGAGAGGGGGGGGAAGCAGGCTCCCTGCTGAGCAGAGAGCGTGATGTGGGGCTTGATCCCAGGACCCTGAGATCATGACCTGAGCCGAAGGCAGAGGCCTTGACCCACTGAGCCACCCAGGCACCCCTTTTGTTGCCTTTTAAAAAAGATTTATTATTATTACTATTATTTTTAGAAAGGTGGGGGAGGGGCAGAGAGCGAGACGCTGACTCCCTGCTAAGAGAAAAGTTATTTCTAATATACAAAGAGTTTAGATACTTCCATAGGCTAGGCTTGGGACTCAATCCCACCACCCTGAGATCATGACTTCAGTCAAAATCAAGAATTAGATGTTTAACCAACTGAGCCACCCAGGTGCCCAGCATTTTTTGGTTTTAAATTCCAGTTTATTGATTCCTAGTGAAAGTGAACATTTATTCATATGTGTATTGGTAATTTGCATTATTTTGTGGTTTGCCTGTTCCTACCCTTTGCTTATTTTTTGATATTTAGTTTGCACCTTTCCTATGGAAGTATCTAAACTCTTTGTATATTAGAAATAACTTTTATTGGATATAGATATATCCCTCTGCATCATACAAAAACAAAGATGCACAAAGATATGTGTGATATGTATACGTATGTATATGTATGTGTGTGTATATATAAAAAACATTTTCATTCAGTTTTCTTTTTAACTTTGTTTCTTATTTTATCATAAAGATTTTTTTCGGGCACCTGGATGGCTCAGTTGGTTAAGTGACTGCCTTTGGCTTGGGTCATGATCCTGGAGTCCCGGGATCAAGTCCCGCATCGGGCTCCCTGCTCAGTGGGGAGTCTGCTTCTCCCTCTGACCCTCTCCCCTCTCATGCTCTCTCTCACTCTCTCTCAAGTAAATAAACAAATCTTTAAAAAAAAAAAGATTTTTGTCACTTTTATGTAGTAAAATCCATACATCTTCTTTTTGCAGATTCTGAGTTACCCATCTTCATTAAAAGGCCACCTACTATGGTCCACCTCACCCTTAAAAATTACAAAAATGTTAAACTTTATTCTGCACACACATACCTATTATGTCTTTATGTTTAGATCATTAGTCGATCTAAATTTTGTTTTTGCATATGGTGTGAGAATTTTTTCCCAAAGGATTGCTAATAGTCCTTCTTTCCCCACTGCTTCTTAATGCCACCTTTACTGTAAATTAAATTTGTGTGTATGTTTATTCCTTATTCTCTATTGAGCTATTTCTCTCCTTAGACAATCACTGTCCAATTCTTAGTAAATACTGAAGTGGGTCATTAATTTCTGCAGCAAACTGCAGATACAGACTGCCTGAGACTCAGTCCTGCTAGGGAGGATAAAATTCCTAGAAAGAATCTCCTTCACTTAAATTCAAATTCAACACTCAGGTATGCACTAGGGTTGACACCAGGTACTTGCAGTGGTGATCAACTGGACATAAATCCAATTTCTCTGGAACAGTTAGGAGGCCCAAGGAATAAGAAAGGGGACAGACATACAAGCTTCCTGAAGAGCCATGAGAAGTCTCACTCTAATCACTATTCTCATCAGCAGGAGTACCTTTGTGGGGTTTCAAAACAGGAGTGTTTGAGCACTTCTTTCACTGGGAGGGCTGCTGTGTTTCCCAGTCCCTCGCTCTGGGCAGCTACCTATGGGCAAAGACATTTTTGCATATTAAATGAATTTGAATCCTCAGCTTACGTCTGCTGGGATCTATCCATCATTCACAGTCACCTCTATGATACCCATGCAAATGTCATGCAATTTGGAAACCTCAATCTTCTACATCTTTTCTGCTTCCCCTTCTGAAAGTGCCAAATGGTATTAGACTAGGGTTCTTGTCTTATTCATCTTTGTACTCCCAGAGACTCTAACACAGAGCTGAGAACCATAGTGAGCAACACTTTCTATTTCAGGAGCAGATCTGTTTCCTCCCATCCAAGTATTCGACAACAAACTTCATTGTTAATTCACCAGCAACACCATCCCCACCACAAAGTCTGAAAAGAAGTAAATGGAGAAATAAAAATGCAAAAGATCACCAAAAATGATAAACAAATGGCAAATGAGCCATTAAGCAAGTTAAAACTACAATTAGATACCGCTATGTATCTATCAGAGTGGCTAAAATAACAGTGATAATGCTGGTGGAGATGCAGAGAAACTAGATCATTCATACACTGCTGCTTGGCTATAAAATCATACTGCAATTTCTTATAAAAC